CCCAAAACGGTTGGAGTTGCTTACGGGTCTCCGGGACAGGCCAATCCACTACCGCCTGTATCTTGATGGGATCTGGACTCACCTGCCCGATCTCGATGATGTACCCCAAAAAACTCAAACTTCATGTGGAACTCTCATTTCTCTCCCTTGACAAAAAACTTGTTCTCCAGCAGCCTCTGTAGGACCCGGCTGACATGGACAACGTGATCAGACTCAGTCTTGGAAAAAAAATTGAGTGTCATCCAGGTAAACAAAAGCAAAACAGTTTTAAAAAATCCCTTAGCACGTCATTTGCTTGATTAGTGAGGCCGAAAGGCATTACCAGATATTCAAAGTGTCCTAGAGGGGTGTTGAACGCCATCTTCCACTCATCCCTATCCCTGATGCGGACCAGATGGTACGTATTGTGCAGATCCAACTTAGTGAACACCGTGGCCCCTTGCAGGAGTTCAAAAGCAGAGGAAATGAGTGGTAAGGGATACTTGTTACGCACGGTGATGCTGTAACCCGCGGTAGTTTATGCCGGGGCATAAGCTTTTATCCTTCTTGGCTACAAAAAAGAAGCCTGGGCCAACCGGGGAGGACGAGGGGCATATAAGACCAGCTCTCAGAATCCCCAATGTAGGCCCCCCTCTCAGGATGGGACAGGTTATACAGACAGCTACTAGGTAAGGGGGACCCAGGGAGGACATCTATCGCACAGTCATAGGGACGATGCAGAGGGAGAGAAAGAGCTAAGTCTTTGTGAAACACCTCGCTTAGATTGTGGTACACAGAGGGAACGTGGAGCAGGTCTGGAGTGGAATTACAGGGGCAAGTGACTGACCCCCCCGAGGGATGAAGCCGAAATTAGCTGAAAAGAAATTCTCCCTTTGATTGTCTGACAAAATTAACTCTATGGGGGTGGTTACCTGCGTGACCCTAGCCCAAATCCTACCATCTAAGGATCTAGCAGTACATGGTTCAGAGAGGTTCTCTACGGAGAAGCCAGACTGGGCAGTGAACCTTTTATCCAGCAAGTTACCTTCTGGGAGTGACAACAGGTACTGGAGCTTCCCAGGGCTCAGAAACCTCCACTGCATTGGACTTCTCCCTGCGCCGCTCTCGCAGGCGGTTGTCCAGGCATATAGCCAACGAAAAGTCAACTGGTTCGTCTCAAGAAGCTAACTCGTCCTTAATTTTTTCACAGAGTCCTATCCTGAATGTTCCCCGAAGCACTGAATCGTTCCACCCCGAGTCTGCTGCTATGGTCCTGAACCCAATGGAGTAATCAGCAACACTGTGCGGACCTGCGGAGGTCTAGCATCGCCGCTATGGTCAGGGTGATCGAACACTTCTTTGAAAGCAGCAATAAACTGGTCAAACGTCAGAGAGGAGGCAGTCTGGTTAGTGTTAGCAGCCTCCGCCCACATCAATGCCCTTCCCCATAACAGTCCCATTATGTATCGTATCTTAGATTGATCCGAGTAAAAAATTAAGGGGTGCTAAGAAAAAAACCATAGGCACTGAAGCAAAAATCCCCGGCACTTATTTAACTCACCGAAAAAAGGTTCTCAGCGGAGGTGGGGGAGGGCTGGGAAGCTCTGGCGCTGGCTGGACTAATCGGTTAAGTGCAGACACTTGTTCAGTTAAACAGGATATTTGATCCTTCATGGCTTGCCTGTGCTCCAAGAGCGTCTGGATCATCTGGTCGTGTTGGCCAAGCAAAACTCCCTAGTGAGCAAGAGCGGTTTGAGCCTTAGCAGCCTCCAACTCCGTATATGCTGGATCCATGTCTTTTTGGCCAGATAATTCTGTTTGGCAAAACAAAACGGATCCAGCAGCAGACACAGGGTCAGGGCAAAAAACCAGATGATTTATTGACAGAATATGGATAGAGGTCTTTGGTGCATGGTGACCGAGAGCGGCAGGCAGGCAGTGAAATCCACAAACTCCGAGACAGGCGGACAAGCAGAGCTTCCCCAAGCAACAGCCCCCTGACACAAAACAATAATTCGATGATGGCAACACAAGGTGAGAAAAAACACTAGCAGAGTGCTTGGCCTGATGAGTGGTTTACCACACAGGTGAACGGACGATCTGGTGAATACCGGAGGGATGAACCGGGTATAAATCAGCAGTGGTGATTAGTAGATTGACTACAGTTGTGTGAGAAACTCCAGGAACTCTCGCTGCCGTACACCTGCCCGGTGACCCGCTGACACACCTACAAACAGCAACAGACAGTAGACACACAGACGCACAGGGAAGGGGGGAAGAGAAAGGACAAACTAGGGGCTGGGAAGGACGAGCCTCCAGGTCATCACAGGCGTTCTTTTGCAGAAACAGATATCTCTGTTTGCGTTTATTATCCTAAACCTGGTTCTTTTTGTGTGTGCTGCAAATTATCTTAAATTGTGTTTCTTTGCGCACTTCAGGGAAAATCAATCAAATGGGTGTTTGTTTATTCAGAAAGGCTTTAAGTCTATAATACTCAGAGGTAATATTTGTATTTATTTTACACAATAGTAGGCCTATTCATTTCAAACCATTTCATCCTTCAGCCATGTGAGTCGGCGTTTCTCATTTCTCTTCCATCCCTCCAGTAGAGTTCACGGATTTGACGAACTGATGAAAGGCAGCGGGCGGCACGGTGGTGTGGTGGTTAGCACTGTCACAGCAAGAAGGTCGTGGGTTCAAACTCCGGTTACCCCGGCCTTTCTGTGTGGAGTTTGCATGTTCTCCCCGTGTCTGTGTGGGTTCTCTCCGGGTCCTCCGGCTTCCTCCCACTGTCCAAAAACATGCAGGCTAGGTTAATTGGTTACCCTAAATTGTCCTTAGGTGTGAGCGTGAGTGGTTGTTCGTCTATGTGTGGCCCTGCAATGGACTGGCGACCTGTCCAGGGTGTACCCCGCCTTGCGATGGATGAAAGGCTGCTCTTACTACAACACTTTAATTTGTCACCCATCTTTATTTGTTATATATGACATAGACCTAGCCCCTTTCCTGGCCTGCAAGGAGTACAAAAAGAGTAGTAATAGGCATCACTCTCCAGGGGAGATCACTTGTATTTTGGCCAAGGAGTACATTAATATAGAGCCAGGAAGGAAGAGTATTCAAAACCTTCAATTAGTATAAAGTAACAATACCACAAGGAAAAATATTGTATTACAATTAATAGTCTTGTATTCACAAAATATACACTTTGAGTATAATGTAAAGTAGTGAGTGTACAGCTTGTATAACAGTTTAATTTGCTGTCCCCTCAAAATAACATAACACACAGTCATTAATGTCACTACTTTATAGCAAAGTGTCATTTCTTCAGTGTTGTCACATTGTCACAAGATTTAATCAAATATTTACAAAAATGTGTGTGGTGTACTCACTTTTGTGAGATACTGTAAATAATGAATTAATAAACAAACAGCATTTTGATATTCTAGCTGATCAAGGTGAAGCCCATTACAACTACATTAATCTATAACAATGCATCACATTTTAAAACCCTATCATATGATTTTAATGTGTAAGTACCATAACATGGATATAACTCAAATGTAACTGAGTACAGCCTATTTGAGTTGATGTGCAATTTAACTGATTAAGAGGAAGGAGGAGAAGAAGAAAATGCTGACAAATTGGCACGACCTATACTACTTGTTCATGTAACATGAGAAATGTATATCCAGTAGCTATGTATCAGAAGATGGTGTGAATGCTTGATCACATTCTTGGTTGTTTATTTATTCTTTAAATCAGGAAACTGATCTAACTTTAGACTATAGTTTAGTTAGCGTGTAAAATAAATAAATAAATTCTCCTTTTGGCAGTCAAAAATAATGTCAATGTGTTTTTGAATGTATTGTTAATAGTGTTATAGGCCTAGGCTACTATTAAAAGGAAGACAAATGGTATAGACTACTTTCATCTCTGGGGCTTGTTGGTGTCTCTGTTTGATTGACAGCCGCTGACAGGCTGTAGTAGTTGGTAGTTTACAAGCCATGGGACAGACAGCATGTCATTAGTGGTATTGAAGATTGAGGACCACCAGCATCTAACCGGACCGAAGTGACAATTTGCAGGTATGATTATGCTGATTAATATGTTACATCTGAGCAGCTAATTAACTATCCAGCCTGAAAATTATTCATTAGAATTGCACTTTCCATTAGTGAATGTTTGTTTGGTGGCTCATTTATAGTGATTTATAGACTTTTCCACTGTTGTAGACAAAAAAATTTATTTATTTCCAGTTGGACATTAAAGGTGCAGCATGGAGTTTTCTTGTAAACAAATAAATGTTGACTGTACACTCATCAGAACACATTGTCTGTGTCCTAACAAACGATGAGTGCATTTTCTTCTTTCCTGCCTTTGTTGGACAATACTGCAGAATGACACTATGAGCGTGAGATTGAACCAAAAGCTTAGTAAAGCCAAGGTGATGATTCTCTGTCCCTTCATCACTAGAGCAACACCTTTCATTTAATACATTTTGATCTTACAAAAGTAAATTATTTAAAGTCACTTTAAACTGGCTAATAATTTAAATAACCCTGTTGCAGATAAATTAATTCCTTAAGTTCCACTGCTCATTGTTTATTGCATGATGATCACTGACTGCAGGTTCTTATTTCCTACCACCTCACCTGGGATAAAATATCAGTCCAATCGCTGCAGGTAAAGACTTTATTTGAATGTTGATATGAATTCAGTTACATTATTTAAAAGTCTAACCCCTGACCCATATTCTGCACGGGCCACTGCAGGCTCAACATAAACCTGAGCGCTGATTGGACGACGGGACTCGCTCGGGAACGCACCGGCGTGGACGCGCTCGGCCTGTGTTTCCAGGAGACTCTTCCACGTGCCCGAGCGTGCCTCCTGGCCAGTGCTGTAACTTATTGAGCGCGCGCTCGTCAGAAATCTGTGTCGGGCGTGCCCGTCAGTGGAATGCGCGCACCCGTTGTCCCCCCCCTTGCAGCTCTAGTCCGGCGCTAATTGGAGTGCACCGCTGATGTAGATTATAACATGGAAATGCTTGAAGCTTTTACTGCGTTTATTTGAAGTTCATTTGTTGTATTTATAAAGTGGAGGAATGATGAGGAGGATTGATCTGCAGACTGCGCCTCTTCTCTGATAATCCCTTCGTTTTTTTTCTTCATGAGGATGAAAACTCAACATCGCCTTATTACTTGGAACAAGTTCATCTTTCCGTAAGGGTGATGGGCCAACGACAGTTTCGTTATTGAGTTGTTCTTCTTTTTTAGCAGATCAGATTCTGCTGCGTCCTTTGTTTGTTTGTTTTTTGTGTGTGCAGATATTTTGATTTAATCCGTAACCGGCGCGGCCCATAAAAAGCAAAGCAAAAGACGCCCCGTTCGACCTAACTTATTTCGTTAGGTGTCTGGCTGTGTTATCTGTTTTTTTTTATTAGCTTTTTCATTTTTTTTTTAAGAATGCGTTTACAGTCTTGATCTGGAGGATTATAGCAGAATATTCTTGCTGGCTTACATGTAGCGGAGAAAGAGGCTCTGTGTATTTCTGATTGATTCATCAGAGGCTTATATAAGAAGAGCCGTCATGTATGCAGGACGCAAGAGGAGAAAACCAGTCCAGAGAGCGTAAGTTGATTTTATTTTCTGTCTTTATTGACAATTCCAATGCTGTACACTGAAAATAGCTTCCCATTAAAATATAAAGTCGACCTGGCAAGCCTGTATGAATTGTGATGTCTGTGAGTCTGAACAGTTCTATAGAATATTTAAGGAAAACAGTTCCTTAATCGAGGAAACATATTTTACTTCGATATTTCGTTTGCTACGAAAATTCATTTTAATGCACTCGTAAGGTTCTGAATATTAATATTTAATCCATACCTACTTATATGGATATTTCGTGATGTTCTACATAGGGTGGAAATTTGCGCTGTAAAATGTAAAATGTGCAGGGTTGCTTTAATGCTTGCAGATTATTGCAGGCCTGCAACTGCGGCCTGATTTTAACCTTCAACATGCCCATCTTTGATTTTTATTATTAGTGCTATTGTTGTTGTTGATAATTCCAAAAATAAACGAAAAGTAGAATTAATTAGACTTTTTCTTTCTTTCTTTTTCTTTTTGTCATTTTCTTTTTTTATTTTACTGACTTAGGGGTTCATAGTGTTAGCCTACGCCATTTTCTGTCAAAACGCCCTTCAGAAGATATGAGGGACCGTTTTTCCCTGTCATATTGATTGGATTGGTGTGAGATATTTAATGTTTAGTCGTTTCTTCATAAAATAATGCGTTAGATGGGCTAAAACCTTCATATGAAAAAATGTTGATAACCGGCCCTGAGTCTTTTTTACGATGTAGACCTGCTCTAAGACTTTGGCTTGAGTGCAACAAACATCTTTTTCCCTCCAGCATAAACATCTGATTAAATCCTCAGCAGTGATGATTACAACATTCAAATTAAAGATGAACAATCTGATGTTATTATAAAGTCTGAGAAGCTACATTAACTGCTTTGGTGTGACATCATCTCAAACTGACGCCATTTCCCTGCCAGTATTTAAAAAATAATGTTAAGTAAAATGCAAACAGATAAAGAATCCAAAGCAGTCCCTCAATTGTCTTTGTTCTGTTATGTGATCACATGTGACTGACTTTGGAAAATCCTCAAACTGTGCAAGGTAAGACACAGTAGTCAGACAGCAACTGCTGCTTGATGAGATCATTATTGACCTGCTGTATAAAATGACCCTCTGTAAGTGTCAATAAATGATCTCCCTGCTGTGGGTTTGCTTTACTTGTAGCAGTCATTTTTAATTTAGGTGACTTTTCATGACTCATCCCCTGAGTGAATCCTTCTTCTACGCAGTGAGACAGTTTTTATTTAAAATCTAATCTGGGAGAATTTGAGGGCAGAAACCGAACCGTAGAGCATGATAATTCCTAGAAAGGACGCTCGGTGTCTGCAAATGTAATAATAATCCTCCTTTGTGATGAGACAGGTTCATGCTACAGTAAAACTTTAGCTGAGACTTTTCAGGTTATAAAGATACTGAAATTGGACTCATTAGGTCAGGTTTTCAGGACCAGTATAGCGTTGTGGTTCAGGACATTTCAAGTACACACACACAAACTTCAGATTCAGATCTCCATCCATATTCATGTTCACTGATAAAATGTGACATTGCTAGTGTGGATGAGTTAGGAATAGTCATGGCACATGAAATGTATACTGTCAACTCCAAAGTAATGTTTATAAACAACAAACTCACTGTAAACTTCACATAACAATATTATTAAACAGTTAAACACTATACCACTATGAGACATGAGCAGTTCCACCAAAGGGTGTTTGGTTTTCTGTTCATTTAAGCACAGGCCTGATGAGGTAAAGCTGTCTACTATTTAAGACAAACAGAAAAGAGTAAAACCTACATTTGTGCAGCAGAAAAATGTTGGTTTTTTTTCGTTGTGGCATTTCTGACTTGTTAATCATCCAGTTTATGTTGAGATCTCACGCAGGGTCTCAGACCCCATTTGGGAATTGTTGTTATAGACTGTGTACTGCTCTCTCAAGAGAACATCAGACAATGACTGAATGGTCAGTAAGTAATGTCCAAACTTACTAAGGGTGAAATACCTGAGAAACCAAAAAAATACTGAATGAAATTGAATATGTCAATGCTTAAAAATTGGGTGGTTGATATAATAAATTGTTAGTATAGTAGTATCAAAATAACATAATAAAATAGGTGAGTTAACATATAAATAGCTAATAAGGGAAAAACAATGCCATAATTTCTACATATTAACCTGATTTAATTCATTTTTTAATAATAATGTGTTGAGACTTCTGGCAAACACAGAACAAAGGGTCAGAATTCACACAGTGAGAACACTATTGAATCACTGCCTAAACACTTTATCTACCAGCCATCCCCAAATGAACTTTGGTCGAGTGTTTGCATATCTTTATTTGTAGTATTTGAGTTTACACTTCACTCTCCAGATTACAATCTAGGGGTCTATTTATGGTGAAAATAAAGTCCGCGGTTCATTTAAACTGAAACTTTTTTGTTCCATGACATAAATCACACCCACAAATATGTCAAATGTTTTCTTTCAACTTTTCTGTGTGTGTGTGTGTGTGTGTGGATCAAACAAAGTGTGTTTATCTTGAGTCAGTGTCTAAGAGATTATTTTCTTTAAAACTCATTGTAGAACTCTGCAGTCTGCACAGAATACTGTACTTCGTCGTTGTGACTTTACTAGTTTGCCTTTCAATTTGCTGCATTTTGAAACACGTTAAACTGCCAATATTCTGTGCAGCATTAGAGAAAAAACATATTCGATCAATATATGTAAAAAAAAATTGATATATATAAAAAATCACAATGTCAGCTTTGCTATGTAGAAGTTGTGTTTTTTATTATAAATGATTTGCCTTTCAGACCATAGAAGATTATATTAAGATTCTTATATTTCTTCACTAAAGTCATTACTTAACTTAAAAAAGTACTGGAATCATTTTTAAAACACAAAAATGAGAAATGTTATTGTGTTCTGTAGATGAAGCATTTTTGTTTGTTTGTTTTATAAAGAAATACTGTACACAAACACTATGAAACACCTGCCACAGGTAAAATCACTGATACTGATTCTTTGGTCAAAGAAAAAAGTAAATTGATTTGCTTCCTCTTGTAGTGCGTGTGTTAGCTATCATCAATGGGCCTCTACAGGAGACATGTTTATGAAGAAAACACTGCTGGCAGCACAGATTCCGCTAATTCCAACACTTGATTGAAGCTTTATAATGTATAAGTGAAATAACTAAATTAAATTGCTGTTAAATTGCATCATTTTCCCATTTTCCCAAAAGGTTTGTTTGACACAAGTGGTGTCTTAAGTTAAGTAAATGATAACAGTCTTTCTTAGCACTCACTGAGATCAACACGCTGCCAATTTAAGATGATTTTGGACGGCTAAAAATAGACCTCACACAAACACGTAGCAAAAATAAAGAAAAATTAAAAATAAAGACTAAATTTAAAAATAACGCTGTAGTACTGTGTCATTCTTATGGAACATTAAAGTAACTAAAGCATGCATATCATAACTCTAAAATACCCTTTATGGAACTCACAAATCCTATAATGTGTTAGCGTAGTTGTTATAATCTCAAAATATGTGGTTTGATCCAAAATGTGCTCAGCTCAAGAATGAAAACTTGACAAAATGAGAGGAACCCAAAAAGCGGTCACATTTTAAATTTGTTTAGGGACCCCATTTGACTGAGCGACTGCTGGTGATTTAGCTGTGACCGATTTCTCCATTTACAATGTTCATCAGGGTGAAGCAGCCACCAGCTGAAGGGGGCAAATCCAACCCGTCCAAACGGCACCGAGACAGGTTGAACGGGGAGCTGGAGCGGTTGGCCAGTCTGCTGCCTTTCCCTGAGGAGGTCACAGCCAGTCTGGACAAACTCTCCATCCTCCGCCTGAGTGTCAGCTACCTGCGAGCCAAGAACTTCTTCTCTGGTAAATTTGCCACTTAAGAAAACGTGAACGGAATCATTATTGCTTGGGATAAAACAGGAATGGCTCCTAGTAGTCAAAGGTCGAACACAGTGCACAGAACAGCTTCTGTTCCACTAGCTACTTGTAGTTTAACACAGTTTTAACTGAATTAAACTGCGGCTGGCTTTTGGTTGGATTAGTGGCTACCTTCATAGACAGTATGTAAATAAGACAGATGTAAGTGTTTCTTCTTTCCACGTAGACCACTCTGTCAGCTGATCACACTGGGATGAAATTGAAATTAATCGACGATGAAGATTTCCCAAAATTGTTCATTTAAGCTTTATTGAAGCACAGAGCCCTAGCAGCTATTTAGCATCTTTGAGTTGTGTGTTTGAAAATAAAGAGAAGTGAGTGATACATTTCAACAGGAGCATTCAGTTTAAAGTGGTTTGATCCCTCCAGCTATTTCGATAATGTCAAAACAGCCGACCTGCTTGCTTTGTATTTGTGCTGGATGTGTTTCCTGACATCTCACGGCTCATCTCATCAACCAGAGATGTGGGGACCACCACACCATAAGAGGAGCAACCAGCCACCGCCTTAGTCAGATGATTTCATCCAAGGATAAGGCCGTCAATATTTAATTGAGATGTGTGTGTATGTGTGTATGTGTGTGTGTGTGAGAGAGATCACTTATTTGGGGATTAGGAGATAGTGCTCTGCTTGCTGTCCATTAAACCTGTGCGCCTAAGCATCAGAGTTGCATGCCAATGGATGGATGAGTACCGTATTCTCTACTATGTGAAGACATTGTTATTTTAGGAGGTGATCTTTCAAAGAGAATGCTGCAATGCGGCCGTCAGATGCTCTTGAAGCATGAATAATTGAGAGAAACCCTGGCGTTTAAGAATTTATGAAACGGAGGCAGAGCTATGTTTGTTTAAGACAGTGGCTTTTTTAGATGGCTGTTTGGGGTGAGACGGACAGGATACAGCACCGGTGATATGAGTGCGTTTCAGGCGGATGAAGCAAATGCACTTCATATTCCTATTGAGTGTGTGCTTGTGGGTGTTGCGCGGCTACTTGGTTCAAATGTTGTGTACACGTAGAGGCTTTTCATGCTCTGAAGAAACAAAATGAAGCCACACCGAAGTGTTTTTTTTCTCATGACAAATTTCTATTATAACCATTTCAGAACTATCAATAGAAGTTGTGTTTATTTTTCTTACTTTTTAACTTTTCTTATTATTTCATTTCAATAACATATGGAAGTATTCGCCAGCTACTCGACCTGTCAGAGTGAATTATTGACAGTGGATTTCAGCACCAATAGGTCAAAGTGTAGCCTATGGACAGACCCTCTTGTCTAACTGCATTAGCCTACTTCCTGGACAGTCTCGAAGTAATTAACGAGCTCAGGGCTCCTACCTTAAGGAAACAGCTCCACAGAGAGAAAGCTCTTTAGACCCACAGGGCCCATCGCTGTGGGCTGCCTCTGTGGTCAGCCATAACTTCTTGTTTGTAAACAGAGCAAATCCTGCTTGCCAGACATATCCGAAACTGGGTGGTCTGTGGAGCGATGACTTAGCTCCAGTACACTCTGGGAACACTGCCATTACTTCAACACTCTGCTGTCGTTGCTTTGTTTGGATGTTTAGAGGAACTGTTGAACGCTAAGAGAGGCTCACCTACATAAAATATTAAAATGCATTAGAATTGCATTGTGCTGCGGAGAGTTTTTCTACCTGGACACTGTATCTCTTTAAAAGATTTTGTTTGTTGTACCCAAACACTCACTGGCTGTGCATGTAACTGAATATGTCATAGGAGTTGGACAAAGCCCTGGCAGAGCCCAGTTAATCTGGCTGTCAGTATTATCTACCCCAGCTACCATCTTTGTTTTTGTCAGGAGCTACAATGGTCTCGTCCCTCTCCACCAGCTTGAAGAGAGGGGCATTAACTCTCATAAAACTGATAACACTGAGATCACCCCACTCTAAGAGTGAGGCAGCTCAGGCTTCACAGCTGTTGCCTGCCTTTTGGATCATTTATGCCCCATGTGTGACAAGAGAGTTGTAGTAGCTGATAAGTTAAGTATGGAAATGTATCTGTGAATCACCTGCTGTATCCCCAGGTTGTAAGGCGACAGATGTTGGAGTGTTAAAATGTTTTCCTCTAATGGGTCGTGTGCAACTGATGCCAACGTATCCTGGCAGATTTACACTTGTAAAAAAGCTTTATACCAACTTTCCGGTGGTTTTATAACTTTTATAACAGTCCTGTACTTAAAAGGCCACATGCAGTGTTTCCAGCTGTGTTAGTATTATCACAAATAATTTGGTGTGAAGAATCAGTGATAAGCTTATTAGTATTGGTCTGCTCTCTCCTCTTTATCCATGCTTGGGGTGAGTATTCCAGTCGATGCTGATCTAGAGAGACATTTCGTAACAACTGGTGGTCAGGCTGCCATAACATTTTGTATTGATAACAATTCTCTAAGATTAACATGCTCTTCATGCTCTGCAGAGGATGAACATTTTATCAGTTAGCGCCACCCTCGGGACAAACTTAAAGTTACATTTAAAGTTGCATACTGCTGTTAAGGTCCAAACAGCATTGTTCAAATGCTTGGCGCACTCAACACTCTTTAGGTTGTTATTATATTATACATTTTAAAGGTATCCATTGGAGATTTTGACCGCTATGGAGCAATGTTTTTCAAGAGTAGGTCCCCAGTTTGTTTGTATCTTGTGCACGCAAGGATGATGAGATACACAGTCTTGCTGATGGTTTCACAAAATTCCACTGATCAACATTTGGTGGAGGTAATGTGGCAATAATTTATGTCAATAAAACATTTTAAACAATGCAGGCTTCAAATTCTTCCCCAAATCACTGCTGCGAAATGTTTTATAGAAAGAAAATGCATTCAGCATGTTTATTTGGCATCAAGGATACACACAAGACAAACAGTGAATGTAAATATAACTTATTAGTAGAAGCTACTGTAGCAGGCCTTCAGACGTCAGTGTTGTCAAGGCTTGCTGACACTGACACAAAAGGCTTTCTTCACCACAATGTAAATGTTACCCATACACCCTGTACTTGTTGAGAACAGCTTGTTTGGATTTGTTTTCGCTTCTGTCTCTCTAAAAAAAATTGTGTATTTCCTGCAAGACTTTCCATCATCCTTTTCAAATGCTTACAATCATGTATGTAGCCAGATATGAGGTTGCCGAGGTCTGGACCTCGGCAATTCATTTCCTAAAGAGGAAAAAAATATATATATATAAATTGGCACTATATAACCATATAATCAGGAGTTTGGTCTGGTTTGTCTTTTAGTGTCTGCTACTAGTTAGTTGTATAATGTGTTGTGGATGAAGATTGGCATCATTTATACAAATAAATCAGCATTACAAATAAAATTGTGATTATCATTTGCTGGCACAACTCGTGACAGTATGTCATATATACGTAACAATTTTCACTGTCTATTCACTCTGTGGTTGCGGGGGCTGTAACCTATTTACACACAGCACTTACTACAAGATCAGTCAACACTGTGTTTGAAAAGTGGGTGCACTTTCAAAGTACGCATGACTGGCCTTACCAATATGGGTAATATGGGCAAAACTGGTAACTACGAAATACAACACAGGCAACTGCGTTCAAGTTCTGAGCACACAAACTATTAACCTACATATTTTTTGAAACGAGACATGTCCCAACATTTGTGCACAGAATCAATTAGAAGTTTCTGCTCTGATATTTTCATTGGCAACAATATTTTGGGTGGGAAATAGTCTAATACATTATTATAAATTTACCCTGCATGGCAGCAGCTTTACATAAACAGTTAGCCTACCTTGCTGCACTCACACTGTCTGTTATTGCATAATCCAAAAGTGGCCTTGCCCTTTGCAAAGTTCATGGTGATGAAGGATCACATCAGGCATATGTCCAAAATAAATATGTTACAGAAAATGAGGCACTGATAGATAATTGTGTGTTCAGTGACTATTACCAAAATATTTAATGCTCCTCATTTGTCACTCTAATTCAATGATTAATATGAAATGAGAGAGAAATACCTATTTTATATTATTGCAAACAAGAATTACATTTGCAATATTTTTCTTATTTTAAAGGGAATATTATGTATTGGTATATATTTATTTTAAGGCATGTTTCTTTTTGACAATTTTATACAACTTCCTTGGGTTTGTGGATTTTTTTTTTTTAATCAGTTGTAATTTTCCAAGTCAAAACATTTTCCAGCTCCTTGTATTGAACACACCATTTTAGTGGGTGTAGCAACCATAAAATCCCTATTTGGCTACCCCACACCCAAGAGGAAAAATAAAAATTACAAACTGGGCAGTAGGTTACAGCACAGTGTATGTGTATATGTATATGTATATATGTATATATATGTATAGGCCTAAAGTTATGTTCGGAAATATTTGGACATTGACACAATTTTCATTATTCTGGCTCTGTTCACCACCACAGTGGATTTGAAATTAAACAACCGAGATGCAATTGAAGTGCAGACTTTCAGCTTTAATTAAAGGTTGAACAAGAAAAAAATCATGTGAAACATTTAGGAATTTAAACCATTTTTAAACACAGTTCCCTTATTTATGGGCTCAAATATAATTGGAAAAATTAACATAATCATAAATAAAATGTTCATTTTTAGTACTTTGTCGAGAATCCTTTGCAGGCAATGACTGCTTGAAGTCTGGAACCCATGGAAATTACCAAATGCTGGGTTTCCTCTTTTGTGATGCTTTGCCAGGCCTTTGCTGCAGCCGTCTTTAGTTGTTGTATGTTCGAGGGTCTTTCTGCCTTAAGTTTTGTCTTCAGCAAGTGAAATGCAAGCTCGATCGTGTTGGTATCAGATGACTGACTTGGCCATTGCAGAATATTCCACTTTTTTGCCTTAAAAAACTCCTGGGTTGCTGGGTCATTTAGGGTCATTGTCCATCTGTAAGTGTAAGTGAAGCGTTGTC